GCTAGAAGGCGCCTCTGAGCCCTGGGGGACCCGCAGCACTGCCCCCGTGAGACAGTGGCACGCTCCGGCCACGCTCCGTGTGCCCCATGCCACCCTCAGAGAGCTCTGGCACCGGAGACGGGGAGACTCCTGCCTCTTCCCCAGGGGCCGAAGAGCGCCAGCACAGCCACGGCCCAGAGGCCACCGCTACACTCCACAGACAAGCCCCAACCCTCCCAGGAGCAGGTACGCTTCAATGTGACCTCACGCCACTGCGACCACGCTCAGCACCCGATGCACGCTGTGTGAGGCCGAAAGCGGCCCGAGCAACGATGACAATTTCCCTGCGTGTCTGAGCAAATAAGCGGACTAACCAGTCACTATGATTTCTCACACACGTCACTCTCGGAACATAATCTGGCACGTCTACGCAGTCTAAGAAAAACCTGCGCCCTGCTCTATGGGGTTCTGAAGGAGCATCCGGAATAACAGGACAACACCCCGTCCACGGCACGAGCTGCGGCGGCAGCTCATTCTTCGGGAAGTCGCGGGTAAAGGGCGCAAGAAGAGAAAATGACAGCTTTGGACCCTGGCCCAAGATTTTTATTTGTTAACTGTGATGGCAAGAATACAAGGACAAGCCAGGACCTTCCGGGCTGGCCGTGGGTGTCTGCCCAGCACGGCCCAGAGCCAATGGCGGGCCAACCTGGGGAGGGGCGCCCTGCCCCGGCACCTGCCAGTCACAAGCTCCTCAGCCACACTGCCAAAGGACCTGGGCAGCGACACAAGACATGCCTGACCAGAAATCCTAGCCGAAAAAGTTCAAAATCAAATGCCGTCCTTTCGAGGGTAGGTGTGGAGGTGGCCGACTAGCGGCCCAGGGAGTTGGATGCCAGTTTCAGACCCGCCGGGGAAGGTGAGCGGCTGCGGCATCGGCGCTGCGATGGTGGGCGGGGGGCCAGCGCTGGGGACAAGGAAGCGACGCTGTGCTTCCTGTGTTCACACACAGAGAGGGGGTCGGAGGAGGCACAGTTCAGGGGGTGCGTCTGTGGGGGTGACGCATGGGGGCTGGGATAGTTGAAGAGGACGGACAGGAGGGACTCCATGCTATGTCCTTGTACACGCACGTAATGTTGTGCGACAGCATGCAACTTACGCTGTGCTGCCCGCAGCGTGTCATACAGCGTTGGCCAGGACAGCGTCATTTCCTTGTCTGAAAACAAAATCCTCACTGGGGGATAAAGTCTGCTGGAGGCGTCGGTCCTCTCTAGAAGACCAGGAGAAGGGGTGTCGGGACACCAGTGGTTTCCAGCCTGTGATACAGGACCAGAATGTACCCTGAGAATCCTGTTTCAGGTCACAAAGTTTACTCACAGCTCAGTCGCTCGATGCTACCGATGACCAAGGGGGAGGAGGTGCTGTTTCCAAGATACAAACTAAGTGACCAAACTGTGCCTGTCAGAGGCCACGGGTTCTAATGACAACTGCCCTGAGAAGGGGTGAAGACAAGTCACCAAGCACACACTCAACCACCACAGCCTCTGAGGGGTGCAGAGCCGCCCCTATCCAGAGGCCCACCGGAGGAATGGCTCCCTCCACTGGAAAAGCCCGAACCCCTTAGAGAGGCTGATGACGTCGACCCTGCAGGAGCCCAACTCTGCAGGCGGTGGCGGTGCCTGTGACGCTGCCGTCCTCCTCCCCTCCCACAGTGGAGGCTGACCTGCTCACGGCTGCCTGACGTAACTGGCGGGATGGGGGAGGAGCGGGGCTTTGGTGACATGTCTTCAGACGTGTGGGCAGCAAGAACTGAAATATGCAGGGAAATGATCAGCCCGACCCTGTAAAGCACAGAAGGTCAAGGGTGTCTGTTCATCGCACCTGCCCGGGATGTTCCCTTCAGCCCAAGTCCGCCCGCCTCCGCCCCCCGCCAGTTTTCTAAGCCAGCCAGCCCGCACGAGGGAGACAGGAAGGTGATGCAGACACTCTCGAGGGTGGCTGCACTGAAGGAGCACCAGGACCAGCGTGCCACGCTGAAACGGGAAGGTCGAGTTCTTAGGGGCAATTTTATGCACTGGTCGCCCATCAGCCAACACGTGGAGCCCATGCTACTTCCTAGACGCGGACGTCACTGCCCACGTTTCTCATGGATTCTCTTGCTCCCACCTTTCTCCCTTCCCCCACCATGCCCTACACGGTGCCAAAGTGAGTGTCCCACGAGAGAGGGCCCTTCTGACTGGAGCAGACAGAGCTGCGATGACCCACGCGGTGGTGCACAGGGGGCTCCTGGGGCTTGCCGGTGCCACTGAAATCTACACTGGTTCTCTTCCCATTCGGCTGGAACTCGCCAGCAACGTCAGACAGCACTTCCTGACGCGCACTCCAAACAGACGCCGGCTCCTGGCACCCGAGCAGTGGGCGCCCTCTATCACCTACTGCTCTGCACGTCGCCCCAGTTTTACCACCGCCAGGCACGTGGCAAGAAAAATCACAGCGGGCTGACCCCAACTGCCACGGTGACGGGGATGGCAGTGGCAGCCCGTGCGCCATGGCCTCCAAGTGCTGCTTGTCCTCTGGTTTACATGTGTCACCCTGCGGGCTGCCGACCTCCCAGGGCCCTCTAGATCTGTCCTCTTCCTGGAAGGCAGTCCCGTTGTCAAGAAAAATGCCACACCAGTCACGCCTTCGCTGTTTAGTCAGCGAGAAACGCGGGGCTTGGCGAGCGGAGCCGAACGTCGTTCCTGCGGGTCGGCTTTGAAAGTCGCCCAACAGACCCCCGCACGAGACCGCGCTCCACAGAGCCCCGCGGCCGCAGCTTCCGCTTCACCCACAGCCACGACCAGGCGTCGTTACGAAGCACAGATCAGACACTGGGAAGTAGGGAGTGAATGGAGTTCCACCTTACCTAGCAACGCATGAATGGGTAACAGACAAAAATTACACCTAAACGGGGAAAAAATTGAAAGCAACCGTCAGCATGAAGCAAAATGAAAGGCAGAAAATCATACAGGAGGAAAAAGCCCCGTTTCTCATCGTACAAAGGGCTGCGAAATACCGACCTGGAGACGGCAACCAGCACCCGGCTCTGCCCCTTGCTCGCCTGTGCGTGTGCGTGTGCACTCACGCGGCAAAGCGAGGTGCGCACAAAGGAGCAGCAGCGCATCGTGACCCCAGAGGGCGAGATTCGGCTCCTCGCACTTCACACCAATGACCTACTCATTTTTAGTCATTTTTCACCTACTCCCAACTAAGGAAACGACTCGGAGACCCCATGAAAGCTTCGAACTGACGACCCCCTCCTCTCGGCCACGCCATCTGCGATCACTGGGGGAGTGTGCTCTTCCAGAAAACAGACGAGAGACAGATGTGGCGAGGAAAGGGCACGGACCGGACAACAGAAGGAAACAACACAGGAACGGAGTGAGACAAGGGGCGCAGAGGCAGCGCGCCAGGGCCCAAAGGGGGCGTGGCACCCCAGTCTTTGCTAAGGAACCTGGACGGTGAAGTGCGTGTCAGCACCCAAGGGCAGGGCGACAGCCAGCTCCACACCAGGGGCTCAGGCACAGCAGTGTAAGGTGGCATTACCGCCCGGTTCCAACTAACGGACACCTGCGACCTCCCCAGCCCTCCAAGTGTGACCCAGCGAGGCCGGGCCCCAGGTCTCGCGTCCCCCTCTTGGGCCCTGACCGCCATCACGCACAGAGCCGAGTGCGGCTGTGCTTTCCACACAGTTCCCCCGGGACGGACAGGCCACCTTGAAAAAGACGGACCTTTCCATGAGCTTATTCCCAGGGTGCATTTATGTAGCATATTTAAAAAAGTTTTACATCCATCCCCCCGCCTCCCCCAGAAAGAACTACTGCGGGCACGCGTCTACACAAACCTGTGGTACTGACAAACCAACTACAGAAGCAGGTCACCATGATAGCTCAGTGTACACTGCACTTTAGGCAAAAATGGAGAAAACACACACACGCACACACACGCACACACTCCAGTTAAGCAGAGATACACATTATAAAATGCCAGGCAATGTTAGTATTCCGACAGCCCGTGATGCACCTAATTCTAAGAGGCAGGTGAGTCACACAGTTCGTGCTGGCAAACAAGAGGAGACCCTCGCCATAGCCTTAGGGCTGCAGGAAAGCAGAGAGCACTCGGACGATGTGTCAGACGGCAGTCCGTGGTTTAAGCTCACCTAGGACCATGAGTGAAACTCCAGACCAACAAGTAAAATTAATGGGGTTGCCCACTCATTTTTATCAGTTCAAAGCAAAGGTTCCTATTTATTTATTTTTGATTATTATTTATTTTTTGTAAAGCTTATAGCACCTAGTATGCCTAACTGGTCCTAGTTCATTTCAAATTATGAGATATGTAGACGTACATTCTGAGTATCCTCAGCCCAAGTATAACTGCAAATTACGTCTGCAATTCCAGTATTCTATTCATTAACACTGACAACACCCCCACCCCAAAGTCCCTTCTCTGTATCCTTTCCAAAAACAAAAAACACAAAAGTTTGTGTCACTGGTCACATCATGACCTTAAAAGAATTAAAAAATCTGGAAAACAAAGTTGCTCACTGAACGAGATCATGTAAATAAGACAGCTTGAGAAAACTGGAAAAGCATTTTACGGAACATTTATACTTAATACTCAAATCATACGTAAAGTGTCTAAATATAGTTCCTCGCTCAAGCATTCTTCTGATAAATTTTGTTTTCTAACTAGAGAATAACAAACGCACATTCACAGTACCACTGATTCAAAGTGGGGAACATGTTTTAGAAGCTCAACAGCGTGGCAGACACAGGTTTGGGGAGCCCCGAAAAACTGACCTTGGGGTTGACATCGGTGTCGTCCTCCTCTTCTCCCTCCTCGTCACCTTCTAATTCCTGTATCAAAAAGAGCGAGCGAGATTTAAATTCTTATGGATCCACTGGCGACCAACTAAAACAATACTTGCACTTAGAAACAAATCATTACTATCCACAACTGATTAAATCACTTCCTTTAAACACAAAGTTATTCCTGGGTGTTTGTCCTTTTTGACAAGCCTGAAATAAACATATCGCTGAAAGTAGATTTGGTTTGTTAAACGATTATTTTCTACGATGCGTTTTCGTAAGCCAACTGCAGGGCCAAACGCTGGACACCATGGCACGTGCTCTCTCTCTGGCTCTCACTGGAGCTGCAGGCCTCAAGGCGGCGGCGCTGAGGGCTGGCGACAGGGCGCCGCGCTTTCACAACCCCGCCCGCCCGCGCAGACGGCCTCCCGCCGCTCAGGGAAACGCCGCGGCCGCGTGCAGGCTGTCTTACCTCCTCTTCCCCTTCTTCGCCTTCTTCAAACTGAAAAGGAAAACACGTGCTCAGGTTTCTCAAGCATGACGGCAACCTGACCCAGACACCGTCCCTGTCAAGTGCTCCCACCGGTCAGGCCTCAGGACAGCAGGAACGCGGCGGGGACGCTGGGCAGAGGGCAGCTGCTGCCCCGGGCCAAGCTGTGGGGCGATCTGCCGCCGGGCACCTCCGGGCACCGCCACTGTGGGGCCACTGCTCACAAGCCCCGCCGTCAACAGGATGCAGGCGCCTGAACACCCGGCGAAGCAAGGACTACAGGTGGGGAGGGAGCAGAGGGGCCGGCCGCGAGGGCGTGCGCTGCGAGCGTAGTTCGGTACGTCCAGGAATTCCAGTACCACCTGCATCACGTGCAAGGGATCTCCCTAGAAACGCACTAAAACCCTGACGGCTGCGCTTTAAGTAAGTTAGCACTGATGCGCACAGGGAGAGACCTCCGACACTGGAGCTGGCTGGTCGTGAGCGAACCTCTCCCACGTCCCAAGACGTCACTGGTCAGCTCCCATTCACGTGCCAAACGTCAGACTGGGATCAAAATCAGGCCCAACGAGACCACCTTCATCACTGACAGCTGCACAACACGATGTACGTGACGGTTTCTTAGGCTTTTTCTCACCAACGCCAGGCTGAGCATGCCTCACACTGGGGGCGGCTGTGGTTCCGGTGTGGAGCGCACGGCTCAGGGGACGAGCAAGATGACCCGGACAGTCTGAGCCACGCCAGAACTCGGGTGCCCCGGCACCAAGCCCGACCTCATACCACACTTACCGAGCAATCGCTCTGCGGGGCACCGCTCTAGGACTCATCCCCAGGACCCCACTTTACCGGCGAGGCACTAAACACTAAGAGGCGACACGGCTGCGGAGTGGCAGGTCGAGGACCGCGCGCGGTCTGGCGGCCGGCTCTGAGCCCGGCCTCTCGGCGGCTGTACACGCCGGGAGCTGCAGAGAGCGAAGCCCACACAGGTGGCACGGGAGAGCACGCGACTCACTCAGCTGTGGTCCCCATGTGTGTGTGAGGACAGGAGCGTGTGCAGGCGGCACGTCCAAGTTTCTGCCCCGACGGGTGCAAGGCCGCAAGCACGCGGCCGGCGTCTAGGGGCGAGCTCTGGCACGCACAGCTGCGCCATCTTCTCTGGCTCCCTTTAATGAAACTAAACATGCAGTTCCTTGGTGACAACAGCCTCATTTTGATCTTCAAGTGTCGCTTAGTCCTACCTCACTGGCCAGAGCAGAGGACAGTTCCATTCTCACAGAAGGTTCCACTGGCCAGCGCTGGTGCAGAATGCTCCGTGTAACCAGCATTTCATAAGACTGAAGTCTTAGCAGCTGCTTGCGTGCTCGGGCACCCCGAGCCCCAACCCTCCCGGCTCAGGATGGACCAACTGCGTCTCAGACGTCATCCGGTCCCCGACCTCGTGGCCAGCACACACTTGGCCAGTCCAGCCTCAGGCACAGGAAGGAGTGCTGGCAGAAGCCCCCGCCTCGGGGTGCAAGGCAGCCCAAACCCGCCAGCTCCTGCCGCCCTGCCCCACGCCCCAACAGACTCTCCAAGGAAGGAAACCTGGAAGCATCCAGGAGACGTAAGAGCAAGAGAACAAGTATCATCTCACACACACTTCCAGCACGTGCTACAAAATAAAACTTCGTCTCTACAAATCAAGAAGACCCGTGGCAACCCAAGGCTTGGTTACGAGGCAGACTGCCTAGATGACAGTCACGGGACAGTTGGTGGCTGTGCTCAGGGGCCACGGTCCCAGCTCTGTGGGGCAATGGGCTCTGCTTCTTTTGGGTCGGCACGCCCAGGCCTCTGTTGACGAGATTCCCTTGTGTGTGGCGGGTGTCAAGTTCACAGGCCTTAGGCGGAACACAGCGACCCCCAGGGTCTTTAGCGGACCCCCTGAAATGAGTTGGGGGGCAGCGCTAACACGGGCCGCCTCGGACACCTGCTTCTCCTGCTCCTGTGACCTCCCCTCTTCCCAGTCTACTGACCCCAAACACCACAGCACCACGCACCGTATGTCAGGTTGGTGACGGACACAAATGCAGGCCTGGGGCGTTCCCAAGCCACCGCTCAGACCCTCCCTGCCCACTAGAGGCAGCACCAGCAGCTCCCAAGGCACCTACGTTGTCATCATCCTCTATGGCCTCCCCTGTGAAGTACAGCACAGCCCGTGGGACTATCCGCTCACGAAAGAAGTGTCCAATCTCGAAGTCGGAGGCTAAAGTAAACTCGGAATCTTCATCCTGAGAGGAAAACCTGCATGTCAGCTCATTTCACGGGGATGAACAAACACGCCGTCTCTGCCCCACACCCTGCCCACACTTTGGTGACTTGACTTAAAGCCCCCAATGCCAGCTCTGCTAGGTGAAAGCCGTTTACAAGCTTAAGCGGCTTTACAAGATCCCCCCTCCCCCGTGAAATGGCGGGGGGCAGGGGTGCCCTAAAGCCCGCATGCGTGACAAGCTTTTGTCCCACCCCACAGAGCAGTGACACAAGTTCACCCCAGGTTTTCAAGGAATAGGAATAAAAAGCTAGCAGGTGAGCGCTTAGGAAATGCAGACTGGAACATCGACACGAGGGACTGTTGATAAGGACTCAAGTCTTACCAGTGATTCTCCATCTCCAGATGCTAGGAAAAAAGACAAAACATATCCGCGTTACACTGACAACCAAAACCGTTCAAAGCCCACACAGACAGCTCCACTGACAAATACAACGGAGCACCCACAGCTCGAGGTGCCCCCTGGTGGGCGCCAGCACCACTGCACTCCCATGTCGTGGGCTGGTACCCGAGCCTGCTCATGGGCCTGGCTGGAGAATGCCAGCTTTCAGAGAAGCATTGACACAAGTTTAAAGTATTAACAGCTATGTCAGGTGGCCCAGACTGTGGCCACTGAGTGCATCTGTGTTAAGTAGAGATTTAACAAGTGTCCTGCCAAACCAGACATGACGACTTGTGGAGAAGGGGGACAATCTTTAAGCTCCGAGTGCTGAGTGTTACTGAAGCTCTGCATCTCAGCGAGGCAAAAACTATGTCCCGGTCTGTCCGGGAGGGAGGGGAGAGCGCGGTGCCGAGACACTCTTCCCGCAAAACGAGGAATGTCCTTGTGGGCAGGACGGCACTCATTGAAGCTCGCCCACCGAGCACCTCAGCTCTGCGCTGGACGTGACGCTGAGGTCTGGTCTCAGCACACACATGAGCACACAGGGCTTTGGCGAACTAGAGTCCGCCACGCAACTGGGCATGACAGCAAAGACAAGGCCTTAAATCCACGCTCAGCGAAGCTCAGAGACACTTGAATGATCACAGGACTCCTATCTCCGGTCACAGCCCCGACGTCCATCAGAAGGTGGATGTCGACTTTGCTGGTCTCGCCCCGCCTCTCAATCTTCCTGCGAGTCTCTGGCTGGCCGGCTCTTTCCCCACAGCTGGCACAGCGAGGTGGCAATGCTGTTCGCTGCGGAGGGCCAAGTGCTGGGGCTGGAAACACCCCCCAAGAGGCAGTGGTCACCAGGCCCTGGCATGTAAGCATCCTGCAGGCTGTTTGGGGACCCTGATCTGGGGGTCAGGGATCAGCACAAGGACCGCTGTCACTTGATTTGGGGATCTGCTTTGTAGGCTAAGGACAAAGAGGGCGCCGGGCTAGCCCGCGAATGTGCCTTTACTTCAAAACACATTCCATCGATGTGACGTTTTCCTTCACTGTCCCCACTGTCGCGCTGTTCGTTTTTATAGAGCTTACCACTTAGAACTATGATTGATCACTTTAAAAAAAAAAGATCTTCCCAGACAGGAAGCTGAAGGACTAAATGCGTGGCTGCTCTCATCCAACACACCAACATACGCTTGCATTGTCTAAGCTCAAAGACCAATCGTAGAAAATAGCCACTACGATAAAAAATGAACCGACCAACGGTGAGGGGCAGCTTGATAAACGAGGGCGCTGGCTCAGAGACCAAGTCAAGAACCAAAGGCTCGGGCTTGGGGTGCGGCGGTCGGGCCAGCCGCTCACCACGACTGCGGCAAGGCCAGCAGTCCTTTGCCTCAACCTGGTTTTGGTCAGGGGACACAAATAGCAAACGTCCTTCCTCACACCCGTGCCCTGACACTGCCGACTGATCCGGCCCTCACGCTCTCCCAAGTTACAAAACCGGCCTGAGACTCCCAAGCAGCCGACTCTCAAAACCAGCTGCTCAGCCCTCTCCTAGCTCAAAGGTTCCATCTTTATTTTATGACTTACGGGAAAACAAAACACGACAAAACAAAACCAAAGCTGCCCTAAATTTTCAGAAGTGGAAATCCAACTACTTATTTGTCACAATATGTTAATTCTCAAAACCCCTGTGCTCCGTCGACTCACGCAAAAAAAACAAAACCACACGAATGAGGGAGGGCAGGTGGATCCAAGCTGTGCACGTGTAACCAGCCAGCGACAGGGGCCTGAGAGCGAAGTCTACAGCCCAGCAGACGGCAGAGGGACACAGACACCAAGGCGTGGAACAGATGGGCACAGGCCTTCGCTCCAGCTTTCTCAGAATGGAGCCCAGGGGCCTGCCTCGGCTTCCCTTCCTGCTACGAGAACCCCACTTCTGACATCCCCACACCCCCGGGATCACCTGGCACAGCCACCGACCCTTCAATGGCCGAGCTCGCCAGAGGCCTAGGACTGGACCTTTTGAGGGGAAGTCATTTACGTAAGCGCAGGTTCTCCCGTTACTCGAAGGGAGTGCGTCCCTCTGAAACCCGTGGCAACCAAAGGGCGGACCGCGAAGAGGCGATGACCATCGATCCGGATGGAAAAACTTTGAGTGTTCCCAGAACCAGACAAAAACCTACCAAATCATACCAAGTAACACTTAAAATAACACTAAGAGATGAGAAAAACAGGCATGTAGTACATATCATGCTCTGCGCACCACGACAGGCTTTCCGTGCCACCCAAGATGAGAAAAACAGGCATGTAGTACATACACATCGTGCTCTGCGCACCACGACAGGCTTTCCGTGCCACCCCTACTGGGTGCCGACCAGAGACCACTTCGCTGTGGGCAGAACCTTTGGCAACTACGTCCTCTCTGCATGTAAACAGCATGAACGGTGGACGTGCATGGTGGCTTTATTTCGTTCACCACGACTGAAACGGGTAAGAACGCCCAACTCCGCGCTGTCCCTCAGGCTCTCCCGACAACTCAGGGTGCCCTGCTAAGGGACACACAAGGTCAGACGCCCGCAGGCCCAGTCAGAGCCGCGGGGCGGACCGCCAAGGTGTCACTGTGGTCCTGGGAGGGAGCTCGGCAGGGCCGCTCGGGCCACTGGGTGCTGCTACCTCTGGGAACAGCTCGGGCAAAATAAGTACTGAACACTATTTTCACCTTTGGCCCCCCCCGCCCCCGCAAAATACCACAAACCTCAGGTTGCTTTCAGTTAGCAAAAACAGGTACCATGCAGGTCTTTCGTAAAAGCGAGGTGGTGTAACGGACTTTTGGAAAGCGGGGAAACCTATACATGATCGATAGTCACAACCCACCCCACTCACCTTTCAACGGATTGAAAAAGTTGAAAAACGAATCGTTAGGAACTTGTTTGATAATTGTTCTGACAGTGCCGCGTCCCTTATGTTTCTGCTTTTTCTTGATCGTTTTGACCGTGACGTTTTTTCCTTTCTTCCAGTCAATAGTGCACCTACAAGGCCGAGAGAATGGTCACGGATACACGCCCCACGAGAAAAACCGTACCAAATGCACACAGTAAGCAAACCACAGCTCTACAGCTAACCTGGACGATTTCATAAAACCCGCCTGCAAGCACGCACGACACACGCAGCCACGAGATGCACCTGGAGGTCAGTGAAAGAGAAAGGGCCTGGCCTGCCACCACCCTAGGAGGGAGGCATGGGCTCCAGCGTTAGGCTCCTGCACCCGCGATGGCATTATTTCTCCGAGACATTTGGCAAGGATTCTGCCATGTGTTTTCTGGGACTCACCCCAATCAGAGCTGGCAAAGGAGCCTCAGAAGCCTGTCACCTGCTGCCCCTGTATAGAGCGCACGTGAAGTGACTCACTCACACCCTCGAATGCTCAAGGCAACTAAGTGATGGGCACAAGGTGGAGAAACAGGTGACCACTGCAAATAATGATGACCAGTGCAACACACGCTGGTTCCAGGCGGTCCAAGCGGTCGTTGGGCGGGGGTTGTTGAGCACGGCGTGCTTTTTAATTTTTTAGCTCTCTGAAGCACCCTGGACCCACAGGTAACCCCTGGCAGCATCTGAAAAGCAGCTGCTCTAGAACGGGCCTGGAAGCCAGGCCTACTTCTCACACGATGGCCAGCCTGTGAGACGGTGCTTTCTAGGTTATTCGAGCCATGTGAGTCCAGCAGGATTTTAAAAAGTTCTGAATTAGTCACATGGGGAGATTCATAAGGACAAGTACTTGGTGTACTTGGTTCCAGTGAATAAAAATAATTTTTAACTCAAGGATAAAACAGTCTCCCAAGTCATTTCGAACGAAGAGGAATGAACTCAAACCACTTTCACTCTCTGGCGACCTGCAGACTGGGCTGCTGAAGCGCTTGACCACGAGTCAAAGGACAGCTGCACCGTCCCGATTCCCAAGCAGGCGACTGGCCAACACGGCCAGCCTGACTCAGTCTGTCGGCAAACGCCTCTGCTGAGGGCAGTGACCACAGCTGCACTGACGGTGCTAGAGAACCCAACCGCCCACTGAAATGAGGGAACCGGGCCACTGTCCCAAACCTGGCCCACGTAGCCACACGGTGCGTTTCCTAGCACCAGCATTCACGTCCCCACCCCAACAGAAAGATTATTTCAATCTCTGTCTCCTGGGCTTTTAAGCAGATTAAAGACTTTCTGCTTTATTCCTAATTTCCATCTTACTCGTAAAGTTCTAAAATCATCTCCTGGTTTTGTTTCAGAAAAAGAAGTTGAAATGGCGTTTCCTTACCCGTCACAGTCAACTATTTCAGGACCTTCAAAGGAAAAGGGGTCGGCTTTATCTGGCTCTGACTTCATCTTGTACGTTTTTGTCAGGACTGAGTTGGTGAAGTAGTCATTGGGTTCGAAGTGGAACTCTAATACGAAAGACTGAAAATGAAAAGTCAGGGTGAGCACACGGAGACTCCACACACACCCACTGACAGACTGTGAGCCACACGGCGCCAAGGGGAACCAGCCCCGCCCTGAGCAAGAACGAGTATGGCTGCGTGACAAAACTCCTTCACTGCAAAAGACACCGGCACCAAGTTAGAACGCAAATGACAGGCTGGGGGAATCTGCTGCTGTTTTAGTTCACGGAATGGGGGCGGGATCTGCAGGGAGAAACTGGGCATCAGTAGCCCAGCAGCCCAGCCGCCTCCCGTCTCTCTCGGATGCAAGCAGCACACTGCTCTCTCTGCCTGCAGGGAACGTGGCAAGACCCCACGGGGGGTGGGAGGGGGCAGGAAGCACTGACAGGGCCTCCTTAAGCCACACCAAGGACAAGTTCACCCCTCATTCACGAAGCACTCCACAATCCGAGGAGACACAAACGTAACAGGGAGAATGGACAAAGGGTGCGTACAAAGTAGCAGTCACAAATAAAATCGAATGGCCAACAACAGGAAAGATAGTTACATTCACGAGTCATGAAATAACTGAAAAATAAAATGGGAAGCCCCTTTTTGGGGCAAAATGTACTAAGAATAAAAATATAGTACTGGCGAGTGTTTTGGGAGACCAAGAACATTCCTAGACTGGAAATAGCTTTGTGAAGGTCAATTTGGGAATACCAAAAGAGTTTAATAAAAGACATTCTCTGACTCAATGCCACTATTTTGAAAAGTCTGCCCTACTTGAGGAAGATACCTGGATGGATGCGTTAATGTGTGCAGATATCACCTCGGCTGAAGTTCATAAAGGGAAAAATGAACCTCAGTTAAGTGAACCAGAGATAGTCTACGAAGGCCGACTCTGGGTTCAGACCCCACCTCTGCCTGTGAGTGCTGTGTGACTTGGGGAAGTTACTCTCCATCTCTGTGCTTTCGTTCCCTCATCTGCTAAATGGAAATGAGGACCCCCTCTGCCCCCAAGCTGACCTGAGTTATCTACAAAAGCGCTCAGAACAGGACCAGGTTTGCGGGCAGTGCTTGTCAAACGTTAGCTATTTCCACTTTTATTATAATGGTACAGCCATCAAGTGGAAAAAAAATAAGTTAAAAAGACTAAAAACAAGCCACTTCTATAAAACATGGGGGAAAAATACTCTCCAAAGAAGCGAGGAGGAAGAGGAAGGCCATGACGGAGGGAGGAAGTAGAGGCTTAGCAGACAGACACAGGTGATCAGAGGGTCAGGGAACCACCCAGGTTCTAGAAGGGACGGCAGCGAGACCTGGCCAGGAGGGACCACCAACCTTTCCAAGAGGAGTGTGGACTGGAGAGGAAGGATGTTCATCAGACCCAAGTCACTGGCCTGGCAAGTCCAAGTTCAGCAAGGAAAGGAAGGCAGCCCCTGGGCATGGAATCTCCCTTCACCCTGCTCCAGCCCCGGGGCCGTAAAAACCAAAATGAAGATGGAGGGCGAGGAGGCCGTCAGTGGAGAGACTGTTACCCCAGAACTGTTCAAGGTCGTGAGTCAGTGGAGAGACTGCTGTTACCCCAGGACTGTTCAAGTCCGTGACCACAAGCGTGGATGGGCAACCTGGGGGGTGGGGCTGGACTAACAGATGGCACTGTTACACCTGGTCCTTCGTCACGCCTTCTTTTGTTCACACAGGTGTTCATCCTCCTCTTCCTCTCTCCATTTCCTTCCCCTACCATTTCTCTGAACCAAGTATGCTGTTGCTTTTCCTCATGTTTTCCTATTTTTTTCTTCCCCTGGATCTCTGTCTGGTCAAGACCGACCCCAGCACAGCTGGGGATGAATTAAAGTGTTGACGGAGCAGCAAGAAAGGGCGTGAGGAGGAGGTCCTCTCATTCCCCCCCACCTCCACCCCCACCGAGCCGGCAGCCCCACAGCCAGCCCCACTCGGAAGTAAGTGCAAAAGAAGATCTCTCTCCTGCCCAGCAAAGCCAAGTCGGGTTTGCCTCTGCCAGCACTCATGCCGAGAAGGCCAGAGGGTCTCCAGCCCACGGGTAACATGTCCACGTGCGACCCTGGACAGGAGGGAAGGTGTGATCATGGGGTGGGGCCAATGCGCTGCCTGTGTTTCTGTCTGAAGCCAGGTGGTTGTTTTCCTTCATAGCTTTAATGTCTCAGATATTTCAGAGTAATTTTTGAAACGACAAGACTATGAGGAAATTGTGTTATAGTCACTTCTAGAGCTGAAGATTCCTCTAGTGTTCTTTACACCACCCAGTATTTCCTAATCTCCTATAGTAAGCACGTGACCTTCACAGCGGGGGAAGCGACAAGGCAGAAAACGGAGATGGCTTATGGTCCCTCACAGCTAGAGCTCTAAGCTTCTTGTGAGGCTCCGGACGAGGCAGAAGCAAACATCCGACAGACAGGCTGGGAAAGAAAGAAAACAGACCCAGGGAATCATCCAACGGGTGTCCAGTAGGAGCAAAAGAAGAAAAGAGGGAAGTAATCTGAAAAGGAAGAATCAGTTCACCGAATTCAGATGAATCACAGGTGAGAAAGTAGCGTGAGAAAAAACTCGGAGTCTTAGAGCATCACATACTCCGGCAAAGAGATTCACACAATTCATAGCCCACGAGGTCCCACCGCCACAGGCTGCCGCCAGGGGGCGCCATGGCAAGACCTCTGCACAGGTGAGGCTTCCTGGGAAGGGCCTAGAGGGAGGCACTGGGGTAACTGGGGTACTGCAGGAAAGACGAGGTTTCCCTCGGCTACCGGAGTGGCCTCTCAGCCTGTGAGCAAGCATCCCTTTGGCTCGTGCCCTGACCCCGACCTGCAAAGAGACAGGTGAATGTCACCTCCAAGAGTGGAGCAAACAAATGGAAGGAATAGAAACAGGTGTGCTCCCCTGCCCAGCCCCCAGCAAGCAGAATGAGGAAGAGGGAAACGCCATTTCCACTGGCCCTCACTCGCTATCCGGGACCGCTGCTGAAGGTGAGAAAGAGGCTGATGCTAGGTCCCCACCGAGACCCTAACCCATAGCCTCCCAGGGAATGTGTCTCCAAGACCTGAAACTGAGAGCCACCAGCCAGCCAGTCAGTCATGTGTCGTTGGAAGTGCTGTAGCACTGGAATGGAACCAGTTAGCCACAGCCAGACTAACAGGTCACGAACAGTGCTCCTGCGAGGACCCAGCTCAGGCAGGATGGTGCGCACCACCCCGAGATCCCTTCAGAGAAAAGGGGGGAACCGGCTGAGGTCTAGTGTCTCTCACTAACTGGCAGGCAGGTCCCCCACCCTGACCCTGACTAGCACTAAAATGACACACTACAGCCAATATTTTGGAAAATATGGATTTTCTGATGAAGCCAAGATCAGGGAAGCATTTTTCAGTCTCTTCTATCTGCAGGGACTCTGAGTTCCTAACTATCACCCTCTCAAATCTATTTTACACATATCAGGTCCTTGTAAACCTGGGAGACACTCAGGGAAAGGACGGTATCACCCCATCTGACACAGAAAACGCACAAGCTCAGAAATCAGAGCATGGCCTCATGGACACCACGCGGGGCCGAGGAGTCCAGCCCTGTGTCTGATGCATGCACCTTCCACCACATGGCTTGTGGCCTGAGTCATCTGCCAGGTGGACAGGGCTCAGGAAGGCCGTGTGAGAGCTCTTCTACTCCTCGGAGAGGGTCTCGCTCAGGTCGCCCAGCACACGAGTGTGGCAGGTGTGGATGTCTTGCCTGGACTCCAAGCCCTCTGAATCACCCCTCCCGCCCCACCACGCCAACAGGAGCTCAAACAACCAGTACTCACCATC